GAGTTTCGACTATTCGACTGTATATAGCAGTCACAACATCGTCTGTATGTAATATGTCAACACATAAACTAACCAAAAAGTGTCAAATAAGTAAAAATAATTTCTTACTAGATTATTGTTAATGAACTATTTAGTAATACTAGTATTATTATACTGCACAAATAATTTATATAAAAATTTTATAAAATAAAATATAAAAGTTTTGTAGGTTTTATTTGCTTTCTTTTATATTTTGACAGCTAGTAAAGCGATTTGTTTATAAAACAATCCATGTACTCTACAAGCTTCTAATAATTAAATTTCAATTTTTCTTAGCCGTCTAATTAAAAACTAATTTTTAATCAACTTAAAAAAATTAATTCTGTTATTAAATCGAGTTTAAATATTTGTGACAAGTTTTGTGCATGTTATCTCTCTTAATCAGAGCGTTTGTTAGTAAACTTTAAAATAACTTATTTTTTTTTATTTATTAATTTTTACTTTTTTATTATGCCCGCCCCGACCAGTAAAACCTCGGCTTCGCCTCGGCTTTACAAAAGTCAGGCAGCGCCCACCTCACCCCCGGCAAAACCTCGGTTTCTCCTCGGTTTTGCAAAACCCCTTCCCCGGGGTTGCGTACTTCCGGCTGGAGAGCAAGAAAAATAGTATACAACCCATGACCAGAATGTTGGATGCCCTGACGTATGTGATATGATAGCCTCGGCTACGCCTCGGCCATCATATCACATACGCCAGGAAATCCAACTTTCTGGCCTTAGGTCGTAATATACTATTTAATTTTTTTGACACTTTCTGGTTAGTTTATGCGCTGACATGTTACATACAGACGATGTTGTGATGTTGTGACTGTTAGACAGTTGAAACTCACGCCACAAAAATATGAAAAGAAGCGAGGTTCTGTGCTGCCCGGCCAGAAAATATGCGTAGCGCGCATGCGCCAAAACAAGTCACAAATGTTGCTCTTTCTGGAGTAAAATGCGTCCAGAAAGAGCGTACTTTCGGGTAGGAGAGCAAGAAAAATTATTAAAATATCGACCTTTCCGGCAATACCGAAATTGAGCAAAAAAAAAATTTTCCCGTGATTTTTTCAAAGAATCTCAAGCTATCGAGCTTTATAGGTCGACACTTTGTTTTTGTGCAATTTCACCAAAAACTCTTATATGTTCGCGTTTTAAGATGAAAATGTAATGCTAAGTAAGTTGATTTCTTTTCAATCTCTGATCCAGTAATTTTCGGCATTCAGTGATCAATTTTTATAAAAAATATATATATTTTTTAATCGCTTATAACTTATGAACAGTTCAATTCAGGAATTTCAATTGTCGAGTATTTGTTGTTCTGTAGAGAATTTAATCCTCTTCACAACGATATGATGATCCATGTTTTATTCTGACACTGAGTTTTAAAACATCGAAATGTTATTCATATAAAAAATTTAATAATTCATTGACAAAGCTTTTGAAACAAAAGTTATGAATTAAAACGGATCATTTTTTATTTATGTGTATCGATATGAAAAAGTATTTTGTGAGCTTATAAAATATTTATTTCCGAATGCTTTTATTTGTTGTGAAAATTGCCTCCGTAAAAAAAATTAATTTAACAATTGTTTATCTCTACAAACTTCGAGATTTGAAACAATTGAAACTTAAATTATTTTAGAACTAAGAAAATTCATGGCTAGCGACAACAGTACTTTTTCTCAACTTCAACGGTAACTTTTTAGAGTTCGTTCACAAATAGTTCCGATTAACTTTTTTTGCTCTTTCTATAAACAAGTAGAATGAACCTTTTTAGATCAAGCGCAGGAAAAATCTAAAAAGACTTAAGAAACATTAGAAAAAGGTTATAAATTGGTCTTTGCTTTGTGTCTTGTAGTCTAAAACTTCTAATTCAATTTAAAGTTTGAAATTATCTAAAATTTGAATCTTTATAAAATATATACTGTCACACGGGCAGTATATCTCGAATAAATTACCATTTCAAGATGAATTGTCTGATAATCGATAGAGTTTATG